CCAGACATTGCACAAAGCCAACATCCTCCTGGCAAAACACCCAGGGATGAGGCAGGGAACTGTCTGCTCATCCGTGTGATCCACTGGCTGCCAGGTCAGGCACCTGCTTTGACTTTGGTGTCACTGCCTGTTGATTCCTGATGCCTGTTATTCCATCTAGAGCCTTTTCTGCAGCTACAGTAGGAAGATTTCTGACTGGGATAGGCACCTTGCTGCTGGGGCCACCAGCTGTGAAGCTCTGAGCACTGAGAGGCTCCACAGCTGCTCATCCTGCCAGGCTCTGGGTGCCTGGGCTCCCACCAGCACTGCTCCAGCCAAAAAAAAAAGGGTTTTTTTCTCCCTCCTCCAAGAGGGGACTGGTAACAGGTTTCTGACACACTCACAAAGCAGTGCTGTGCTTGGGCAGGGTCTAACAGTGGGTTTTCCTGCCAAACGGGCTGTTGTCTGCTTGTCTTTTTTACTTTTTTTGGGGTTTTTTTGTTTTGTTTTGGTTTTTTTTTTTTTTTTTTTTTTGTTTTGTTTTTTTAATCTTCTCCCTTCTAAGATGCTGCTCTCCCTGGAGAGGAGCCTCCCCTTACTCTTCAGTGTTGACCCCTTCAGAAATCTCCTGCCAGCTCTGAAGACCTACAGCCTGCCCCCAGCCCCATGGGAAGGATTCAGCCCCTGAGGCAGGAATGTCTGTGTGAAGAGTCACAGAATCCTGGGATGGTTTGTGTTGGAAAGGACCTTTAAAGGTTATCCACTTCCAAACTCCCTGCCATGGGCAGGGACAGCTTCCAGCACACCAGGTTGCTCAGAGCTCTATCCTTGAACACTTCCAAGGAGTGGAACCCCAGGCCACTGCTCCCCTGGTCCTGCAGCATGGCTGGTCCCTCCTGAGAGCCCTCACCCCTCTGCAAGGATGGGCTCCCTTAGAGTTTTGTATCTCCTGTTAATGGCTTCTTCAGGGCTTCTCCTTTGGAAGCTGCTAAAGGCAGGCTGGGGCCAGCAGGGCAATGCTGGGTGCCCACACGTGGAGGATCCTCTCTCCCTGGAGGTGCAGAGATGCTGCAGAGCTGGCTCCAGCACCAGCATTAACCCTGCTTGGAGCGAGAACTTCAGTGCCCCCTTTGCATCCCACACCCGCCTGTGGTGCTGCCAGCTGACCCAGAGTCTCCCTGGGGTGCAACAAGCTGTAATTCCCTGTGGAGTGGTGGGAATGGCTGGAAGCACCTCCAGCATCCCCCTCCCCCAGCACCACAAAGCTGTCTGGGACACTGCTGCACATCCTGGGCATGGGACAATTTGGGGATCCTGGGGCTTCCTGCTGTGCCAGGCCATAGGAATCCAGGAGAATGGGACCCCTCATCTGCCACCAAATGGATGGTGTGAAGCAAGAAACCTGGATTTCCTCCGAGCTGCCCTGCCCTGTGTGGCAGCGAGCCCAAGCCTCAGTGAGTGGCCATGCCAGGCCAGAGGTCAAGGTTGTCCCGGCAAGGCTGAGCAGAGGTCGTAGTGGGAGGATGTTCAATTAAAGCTGCTTAAAAAAGAAATCCAACTTTCCATATGCCTCTCTGGAGAATAAAACAGCCCCAAAGCAGAGCGCAGATGGGGTGCCAGGCGGGGGGCTGAACACAGCCCCCACGGCAGAGGTGACTCCGGCTCAGCTGTTCCCACTGCCTCCGATCCACGGGGATTGAGGTTGTCTTTTGGTGTTTCCTTACAGGAAGTTGGACATTTGGTTCTGCAGAAATCCCCATGCAAACTCGGACACGGGCCAGCACTGTGACATAGTGTCCTCCAGGCTGTGCTTGTTTTGCAATGCTCCTGCTCCCCTGGGGTGCCAGTGAAGCTGGAGGTGGTGAAACTGGTGCCTGGTTGGAGATGCCAGACTGGGACAGTGGCACAGGCCATGGAAGGGCAAGGAGCCATCCCCCTTCTGCTGGTGGCCACACCAGTCTATCCAGTTAGAGGAACCCAAGTGCATCCCCACAGAGGAAGAGTAGTTCCCCAGCTGGCACCTTCATCAGGAGGAATTTCCCTGGGTGAAGGAATGGAGGGTTCAGCCATCGTGTGGCAGAGGTGTTGGGCGGCACGGTGGGAGGTCGGCCCTCATGTCACTGTGCCACATGTGCTGTCTCACTCACACAGCCACCTAGAATAGAGTCACCATCTGGTTCCAGCTGCCCAGGGACACGAGGGCCTCCCTGGCCCCTTCTGCGATTACAAAAAGTGAATTCAAACACCAACTCAGCTGGACTCAGCTGGCCTTTATCCCTTTTTTTTCTTTTTTTATTAATTCAGGTTTGTCTCTTAGAGAAGAGAGAGGGAGATAATGTCTGCAGAGCATTTAATCTTCTGCCCAAAGAATAGCAGAGAGCAAATTAGGATCTACTCCAATTAATTTGCCTTGATGGGCAAAATCTGGAGAGCGGCCATATCTGGGAATTAAGAACAAAAGCAGGGAGTGTAAAGTAGGTCACCGGAGTTTCGTAACCAGAGCGAGGGGTTTCACAGCACGGCGGGTGCTCCAAAGCTCCCGCTGCCGGGGTCCACCGCTCTCATTCCCCACCACCCGCTCCTTTCAGCCGGGACAGTTGCTTTAAGATGCTGTCAGCATGCAGGGAGACAGCTGTTTGTTCTGGGGACAGGAACGTGGATGTTGTCCCCTCCCACAGCAGGACACAGCTGCAAGACTGTCCCAAACCCTTAGACAAAAAGGAAAGACAGACACTGGCTCAATGTCCCAGTTTTGGAGCACCAGAGAGCTTTCCTGGGGTCAGCGTGCCCACCTTGCTGTCACGCTGCTGCCCTTGGGCCTGCAGGCACCTCCCTGAAGGAGGACTGGGGGGACAGGAGGCACCGGGGTTTGGGCAGTGCTTTGCTGTGGACTCTTGCACGTGCAGTGTCACCAAGCAGTGGTGACCCACAGGCCCACCCTTTTCCAGCACGCCCAAACCCCAGCCCTGGCTTCCCAGAGCCATCCGTGCCTGCAGGCTGTGTGGTGACACGGTGACGCCTTTCAGCTGCGAGACACAAAGGTGTGAGCCATGTGTGGTGACAAGTGCTGGTGCTCAGGCCACGTGGTGACATAGCCAAGGGTCTGTGACATGTACGGTGACATTTTCCAGGCCATGGGACCTTCTGTGGTGTGTCTCTGCACACACAGGGTGAAACACCCGGGGTGTTCAGTGGGTGTGCACGGATCTTCCCAGGCTTTGATTCTGGCTGGATTGAAGCAGCACAGTTTGTTGTCTGCAAGTGTCACCATCGTGGTGGCAGCCTGTCACAGCACCATGCTGGTGACTCTCCCCGGCCCCACTGCGATCCCACCGCTCCCACCCCCTCGGAGGTGCCGGCGGGCGCTGCGCGGTGCGTGCCGGCGTTTATCCTCTTAGCCACCCTGCCGGGATCCGGCACTTATTCACCCTTAAACACAGGATTGTCAGGAACTGGGAAGGCAAGAACCGGCGGATTATCCCCCCGGCGCTGGCGTTAAACACGGGGAGCGGCAGCTGCTGCATCAGGAGAGCTGGGGTGGTGTCTTGCCCCCTGTCCCACGGGGCACCGGCCCCGGGATCAGCATCTTCCCCAGCAAGAGCTGCTGGGAGACCAGATGTTTTGTGTGGCCCCAGCCAGCTCCAGGCTGGTTAGTGAGATAAACAACGGGAAATAAACACAGAGCCCCACACAGAGCTGAGGGATCGGCAGGAACCACTCAGCCCCATGGGATGAACCAGCAATCCTGTTAGTGTTTCCCAGCCCCAGGACTGGCAGAGGGCTGGGACAACCAGGGTGACATCCCAGAGGTGACCAATCACATATTTAAGTTACCAGACCTCGCAGGAAGAAGCTTTAGGATGAAACAAGCAATATTTTTCCCCGCCTCAATGAGGACAGTGATTACTGAGCTTTCAGCCACAGAACAGCGTGGCAAAAGCTTCCCCAGGCCAAAACCATGTGCCCAGCTGCCCAGCTGCTGGAATGTTTTTGGGACAGCCTCGAAGTCATGGAAATCACAGAAACAGCAGCAACTCGCTACCCACAGTACACAGGAGCTCATGGCTCCTGCCCTCCGCTGAGCCTGGAGCAATCCTCAGAGCGGGGGCACTCGTGGTGTTGGCCAGAGGATTTGGTTGCCTTTCCCAAGTGGAATGGTTTCCCACGTGCCAGCCAGATTTACCCACCACTGCTGCTGGGGGGCCACACCAGCAAGGAGCCTGTGATCTGTGCCACAGCTGGGGTGGCCCATTTGCAATTCCAGTGGCCCTTTAGGCGATGGGTGGGGAGTGAAGGCTGTGCCCAGGAGAGCGGGGAGGACGCCTGGCCCGCCCAGGCCTAGGGGAGCTGGTTTGCACTCTGGGCTTTAGTAGCTGGGAAAAATATCCTAACTTTTCAGCGTAACAGCAACAAGGATGGGAATTAGAGCATCTTCCACTGATAGATACAAGTTTAGCCAAGTTAAATGCCCACAAATCATCTTGGCTTAACTTTGACAAGTTCCCTGTGAACCTGGATGAGATTTCCAGTTCCCTAGCTTTTTTACCTCCATCATCTTGGTTATAAAAAAACCCAAAAACCCTCTCTTCCCTGCAAACCATACTTTTCTTCATGACCATGAATACAGCAAGACCAAAATAAAAGGGGTGGAAAACAGAAAATGTCACTGGAGTTGCCCATCAGAGGACAAGTTCTTGGCTGCCAAAAAGACAAAGAAATCTGCACCCTGTGTTTTCCTAAGGTGCTCTTTGAAATGAATAAAACATTTGACCCACCTCTAAAGGGAATATCTGCTATGCCCAGCCCTGAAAAGCAGCAGTCACGGAGCACCAGGGCAGTGGGAATCACCCATTCCCGGGGCTGTCCATGGTCCCATGGACTACACTGGAGGAAAGTAGTCACAGACCCTCCCGCTGGCCCTTCTTGGGGACTGGTGCAGGGAGCATCTCCTCTCCAATCCCCAGAGCAAACACGGGGCTTGGGAGGGGCTCAAGGGGCATCCCATGGCAGAGAGACAGGAGAAATGTAAAAGTGTCTTTTAATATAAATATAAATCCATCTGAAGTGCTGCAGGAGCGGACCGTGCCCGGCGAGGGATGCCCGGGTGGGAGGTGGGCGCGGCGGGACCGGCCAGCAGCCGGGGCAGGCGGCATCGCCTGGTCACCCGCGGCCGGGCAGGGCTAGAGCCGGGCCAGCAGGGCCGGCAGGGTCAGCAGGGCCAGCAGGACCGGCAGCCGGGGGTGCAGGGTGGTGGCCGAGCCCCGCAGCGTGGCCTGGTTGGTCTCAGAGGCCGGCGAGCTCTGGGCGCTGGCCAGGCGGCCCCGGGCGCTGCACAGCTCCTGCAGGTTCCCCTGGAACTGGATCTTGCGGGACTCCTGGCGCAGCGACTCCCAGACCGTGGCCGCTTCCACGGGGCACCGCGACAGCGCCTCGCTGGCGCAGGTGTGGAACTCATCCCAGGACCTGCGGAGCAGCGCGGCAGTGGGGGCGATGCTGGTGGCAGTGACCCACCGTCCCAGCGGCTCCCACAGCGACACTCACTTGCAGATGGCCTCCAGCTCCTGCGCCTCGTCGCCGCCCTCCTCCTGCTGCTGCTGCCGGACGCTGCGGGCCATGCTCTCCCCCAGGCTGAGCAGGCATTCGGCGAAGCCCTTGTAGATGGTGTCGCACTGTCCCGCCATGCTGACGGGCTCCTGGCTCGCGGCTGCGGGGCACAGAGAGGAGACACCGAGCTCAGCCCGGCTCAGGGCAGCGTGGCGTGGGGGTGTCACCGGGCGGGGGTGACACTTCCACACGCCCCCGGACCGCCGGCATCCCCTCCCTGGGCACTCGCAGTGACCCTTCGCTCCTGGCCCCGGACCCCGCAGCGATGCTGCCATTCCCCGCGGGGCTCCTGCGGCCGCGCCACCTCGGGCCTCCCCAGAGCCATCTGTCCCGGCCTTTATCCCCTGACACAAAGATTAATTTGTGGCTACAACAGAAAAAAACCAAAGCAAAGGCTCAGAAAGCTGGAGTCCCTACTCTGACTGCAATGGGAAGGAGGGGGAAAGGGGAAAACAAAGGGGAAGGGGGAAAGAAAAGGGGAAAGTGGGAAAGAGAAAGAGAAAGGGGAAGGAGGAAGGAGAAGGGGAAAGGAAAAAGGAAAGTGGAAAAGGAGGGGAAGAGGAAAGGCAGGGAAGGGGGAAGAGAAAGATGGAAGGGGAAAGGTGAACGGGAAAGGGGAAAGGATAAAGAGAAAAGGGAAAGGGAAAACATGAAGGGGAAGCGGAGGAGGAAAAGAGGAGGAAAAAGTACAAAAGGAAAAGGCACAAGTGCAAGTTTGGCTGCTTCATTCTGAGAAGCCCCAATTCCCTGCTCAGCTCTACAAACAATTCACCCCCGGCACTGGCCAAACCCTGGTGCCAGACACGGGGCAATGGGTGACAGGGTGTCTTCATGAGGACTGCCAGTGCATCCACGACCGGTGGGAAGCTCAAAAGGAGCTGGTGTGTGACTGGGTCACAGAGAAAACCTGCATGGTCCTCAGCTCTGCCCCAGAGGTCCTGCAGGCCAGAAGATGTGGGGTCCCTGTGCAATTCACAGGAGTTACACGAGTTTTGGAAGTGACATGGGTGTGCACCAGCGAGGTTTCTAATTGAGGAGAGCCCTGTGAGGGATGCAGCCAGGATGTCTGCAGGAAGCCGTGTGCCTTGCTGCTGGCATCCCATGCCTGCACCCCTGGAACAGGGTCCTGAGCAAAGTGCCTGTGGTCGAGATTAACACCAGGGAGAGCCTGACCATGATCACAGGGCACTTCAGGAGTTTGCAAGGAGAACCCCCTGAGCACAGCACTGAGGAAAGTCTCGGACTGATGCCAGACACGTGGGTCACAAACATGGCAGGTATCAATAGAGAAAGTGGAATTCGTTGCTCCTCTTTTCACCCAGCCAGGCAACAAGCCTGCCTCCCACCAGCCCAAGGACCCAGCAGCTTGGGCAGATGATGCCTCTCATCAGCCGGCTGGTCCCTGCTGCAGGCTGAGGTTTTCACCTCCTGGGCTCCTCTAGGGTCCGGCACCAGCCCCCCCCTTCTCCTCAGATCCCTCGGCAGAGGCTGGGCAGGGCGAGCAAAGAAGGAGAAAGCACGAGGGTAAATCATCTCTGCTGCTCCGCTGCAAAACCGTGGGGAAAAACCTGCCCCCGGCTCCGTCAGGGAGAAAGCCCAAGGGAAAAGACGGAGGAAGTTTCCCAGGGCGCTGCAGAGCATCCCGAGCTCCCCAGCGAGTGAAGCCGTGCTGCTCCTGGGGAAGGGTCGGAGTCACCCACCCTCTGAGCCTAAAATCCACCAGGGTGGTCCATGTCCTTCATCGTCCGTGCAGCCGGACCAGGTTAATCCCAGAGAGATTTGTCACTGGGTACCGCTGTGCTCCGCATCCTCCCTCGGCTCTCGGAGGAGCGGGAGTGTGGAGGGGACACGCTGGTGCCGGTGAGGCGCAGGACCTGCCGGATAACAGTCCCCCAGCGACCAGGATGCCCTACGGTGAACGAGGGCAGCGGGGAAAGCCAGCGGCTGCGTGGGGTGGGCACACAGGGCTGGAGATCCAGAGCTCGGGAACTGTCCCCGCCTGAGCAGAGACACCCCGGACAGCGCCGCGAAGCCGCTTCCCACCTTGCCCGGGTCTCAGGCCACGGGACAAGAGCGAATGGATGGCTGAGCCGAGGGGCGACCGGGCACCGCGCAGCTACAGAGGGTGCGGGACGCGGCCGGGGTCTCGCTCCCACCCGCCACCCCCCAGCCCCGGCGGGGAGAGCCCGGAGCGGTCCCGCGGCACTCACCGAGGTGCAGGAGCAGCGGGCACACGACGCCCAGCAGCCGCCAGCAGCCGCCGCCCATGGTGCGGACCCCGCGCCGCCGCCGCCGTGTGCTCCGTGCCCGCCGTCCGCCCCGCCCCGCCCCGCCCCGCCCCGCCGGCAGCCCCGGCCCCGCCCCGCCCGCGGCACGCCCCGCCCCGCCCGCCGAGGGGCGGAGGAGCCCCGGGGCTGGACCTCGGCCCTTGCGGCTCACGGGATCACAGAGCGGTTTGGGTTGGACGGGACCGTAAAAAGCATCTCGTTCCAGCCCGGCAGAGACACCTTCCAGCCCTGTGCAAGCTGGGCTTGTGAACACTTCCAGGGACGGGGCAACCTGCCACCCGCTGTCCTCACAGGGAATAAATTTTTCCTAATATCCAATCTAATCCTACCCTCTGTCAGTGTGAAGCCGTTCATCCTTGCCCTGTCACTCTATACCCTTGTCCAAAGCCCTTTACCAGCTCTATTGGAGCTCCTTTATGTATTGGGAAGCTGCTGTAGGTCTTTCCAGAGCCTCTTCTTCTCCAGGAAGGAAGAACAGCCAGAGACATTTTTGCTGTGAAAAGGGGAATTAATGTCCCTTTCCCACAGCCAGCATCCCACCATCACCTCCTGCCTCTCCCAGGAAGCAGAGATCACTATGCCCTGCTGGAGTCAAGCAGGAAAGCTTGAGCAGAGACTCAGGAAAAAATCCGGGAAGAGAGAGGCAACGGTGGCCCATCACCTCAGGCTCTAGCCTGGAGATAGCCTGATATCCTAAGAGATGCCTCAGACTTCCCTCCATCACACAACAGAAGAAGGTCTCCATTTTTTTTTCTCAAAAAGTTTTTTATTGAACTGTTCTTAATGTTATTTCAACCCCCCCCCCCCAAAAAAAAAAAAAAAAACCAAAACAAAAAAAGCAACAAAACCCCCCAAAACTTCAAAATTTAGATAAAAAGAAAAACCTGGGTGTAAAATCAAAACTAATGTCTGAAACATGGACATGCTCCAATGCACAAGAGAACCGGTGGCCCCCGGGGCTCTTGCAGTCTGCTGCTGCCTCAGCACCCTGACCCAGAGCCCCTCCCCGGGGCACTCCAGAGGTGTCACCCCCTGCCCAAACCTGCCTCACTGGGCCAGATGGGCCGGGCACTCCACCGTGGATCTGGAATTGACGAACCTCAGAGTAACTAGCTAATTAATGAATTCTATTTAACCCTTCTCGCTCGGCTGACCTCCTCCCTGTGCCTAGAGCCTGCCAGGGAGGAGGAGCTGGAGCCCTTCACTAAGGTGTGGGCACAGGTTTCTGTCAGTGAGGAGCGCCGGCAGCCCCTGTGCTCAGCACACACCTCGCTGCTCCCTCGCTGGCGGCAGCAGATCCAAACTTTTACAGGGGTCAGGCAGGAATCCATCGGCTTCTGCTGCGTGAGACACGGACTGGCAGCCAGCCTTGGGGACGGATGAGCAGGCCAAGAAGAGATTTAACTCTCAAAAAAGAGGCTATTTAGGAAAAATAAGCCAAGTGAATGTTCAGTGACTATCTGGAACTATACACAGATGGTGTTCGCCTTAGAGACATCACACACGCGCTGATAGATTTTCTGGCGAGAGTAACACCAGCCAGGCGTCGTTAGTAACTACAGATCTGCGGGGTGGGCTTCGCTGGAGCAGCCCACCAGGCAGCCAGGTCCTCCTAGGTCATGCCAGGGGTGACCAGGCCCTGGAGCATGATCATGAGGCGACGCGCAGCCTTGCTCAGAGGGTTGTGGGGTTCCGCCTGCAGGAACTGGAAGAGCTTTTGCCGCACCTGGTTCATGACTGACCCCATGTGGTCTCGGGTGATGGGGTCGCTTTGGTCAAGGTGCATCACTGCATCCTCCAAGTAGCTGAAGGAGAGAGAGCAAGGTTAGGACCAGGCCCAGAACACGACCCCAATCCGATTCACTTCATGTTAGTGCTGAAGATGTGGTTTTGTTCCATGCCCCACCCAAACTCTGCAGTATGTTCACTTGTCACAAAATAAATGTTCCTGACTCACAGCAGAGTCCACCTATCCCTCACTAAACATGTGAGGTCAGCCTACAGCTCCCAGCCTGCCCACCTGCCCCACAACCTGGCTGCTGGAACCAAGGCAGAGGCCACAGCCAGTGAGAACTCCCCACAGTGCTGGAGGTGACCCTCAATAGATATTTTCTTAAATACCTTTAAATAGAATTAGTCACTCATTAGACAGTAAAATCCCTCAGCAGAGAGGCTCAGTTTGTGTAGGGTTACAATAAAATCCATCCAGGAAAGGGTGGGATAAGATCAAGACTTTTACCAAGAAGACACTCTGAAGTTCAGATGAGCCATCACCTTTTAAATCACAGCCTGAGTCAGGCAATGTGATCACTGCAGCTTTTCAAAAACAATCCAGTTTAAACTTTACAGCAGCAGCTCTAACCCCAATTACCAGCCTGTAACTTGAAGCTATTTTCAGTTTTTCTAGCTTGCTTATCCTTATTGAGTTAAAAACTCAATTTAAGTAATTTTTCCACACAAGCCATAGTCAAAACCTGCAGGTACCTTAACAATTTAGCTTTTAAGGGCAGATAGCAGGGTTTTGACTCAGACACTAAAAATGTTCATGGCAAGTATCAGTACAGTCACTATTCTGTCACACAAGCTTTGCTTGGAACATCTACCAGAAATTATACCAGTAGCTCCTGCTGCAGCCTCCCACTGAGCCTTTCTGACAGTCACGACAACAAACTGCTGACACAAAGTCCAGTGATGGGTTAAGAGTTGAGGACAGAGCAAACTTGCCCTGGGTATTGTACTATCCAGGGAACATGGCACTATCCCTTCTTTTGTCTCCACAAGGAAATTGTTCCTTGGGGAATGGGGATTGCTGCACAGGCTGCAAATATTTACAGGCTACAATTCCAGAGGTACCAGCACCTGCTGCTGGGTACTCCTTCCATTACTACCTCAGGGCAGCAAAGCTTTCTGTGGCAATGCTGACATATTTTTCTAAGTTACCACTGGCTTTAAACATGCCAGTAACTGGGTACAGAAACTCCAACTTTCGTCAAAGTTCTACCTTCCACTTCTAGGCACTGAATTTAAAGCCAGGGCTAAGAACAGGACCCGGTTCTCTGGTCATACTCACTTCAACTTCAGTTCTGTACGAGTGCCCAGATCTGAGGAGAGCTGCTGAATGAGGGAGAGCAGCACAGGCTGGGACAGCGGGCATGGATGCTGTCCAAATACTTGCTGAGTATCCACAGTCTCACAGACATACAGAACCAGGTTGAGATCAGCTGCTGTTAGAGCCTGCAAGGAAGACACAGCTAGAAATGCACAGGAACCAACAGGCAGGTGAGGGACACAGGACAGAGTGACATCTCTGGGATGCTCAGTGGCTCAACAGCCTCCTCTGGGAGCAAAAATCTCTGCACCTCTGCTGTACAGGCCAGCAGGGCCATCTTTAGGCTCTTGCTCCATGCTCTGAGGACACCTGTGTCTGTTCCAAGCTGAACTGAGCACAACCAGACAGAGGGGAGCAGGTTACTGTCAGCAGCATGGAGCAGGGCCAGCAGTGTTATCATTCCCAGAAGTTTGTCTGCAGCAGCTCCAAGGGATCTGCCTGCATGTTCAGAGTCAAAGGCAAGGTCAGGTCCCAGCTGGTAGATCTGCCTGGAGAGGCTTAGGAAGCTGTTGCTCTTCAGAGGTGTGCCACGTATCAGCACTGATGGCAGAACCTGCTGGTTTCCTGACAGGACATGGGCAGGGATGAAGGAACTTAACTGCTACCAAAGCATGGAACCTGCACGGCTCTGGCTCCACCTGCATGAGAGCAACTGCGCCCCTCAAGCACCCCACTGCCACAGGTCTTTTCAGTCAACTCCTGTGTAAGCTGTTGTGAGATTATGTGCCCACTCCAAGGAGCCCTTTTTTCCTTCTCAATCCCCAACAAGCAGTGGATGACTACCGGGAAAACTAGGTACCTGCTGGAAAGCTTGGTTGAGGTGTCCCTGCTGGAGCAGCTGAAGGATGTGAGTCTGCTGGGACTGGAAATCCATGTGAGTAGAGGGGATGGGCGTCCCGGCTGCCGAGCGCATCGCCTGGACGATGCTCGAGGTGACGGCTGCCTGCTGCTCCTTCATAGCCAGGCTCACTTCTCCTTTAATGACTCTCTGCACCTGGGCCAAAATAGACTCCTGCATGCTGAACAAAACAAAACAGAACCCATGGGCACCTCTGAGAATGAAGAGCCCAGGGATAACACTGCGCAAAGCTTATACCAGTGAGAAAACACAGGCTGGTTTGCTTTTTGTAGTGGGGCTCCCTAAGGGCTCATACAAATAGATCTGAGGCAAAGGCAACTCTGTGGCCAACATCACAGTGTCCCAGGGTGCACTTGGAAGATGCTGGGATTCTGTGCAGGAAAGTGACATTTCAGGGAACTAAGTCTCTCATCAAACAGTGTTTTAAATCTTTAATGTCTCTGGCTCACAAGCAAGGCGACTAAGCTGTGGGGTTATCCCCAAATGGGGCCAGCTTCCTGCAGGAGACCTGTCAGATGCAGCTCCTCGTGTGCAGATGACACCTTTAGAATGAGAACACACTTACACCGTGCCTGTGACTTCTCCACAGAACAGGATTTCACAGTGCAGACTCTGCTGCTCTGTGTGACACTGTTTCCCTCAAGGGCTGGATTCTCCCCTCTCACAAAGGGTACAAAGCATCATATCTCCTCTACCACAGGTAGAAAAGCAGGGCTTGTTTGGGAACAAGCACAGCCCATGCAACAAAAGTAGGATTTATTGTGATGTCCTTCCTGGCAACTCTGACCTACACCGAAGACCCCAATATGTTCTAGTGGGTTAAAAGAGACAGGGTTGCTCTGCCTCCCAGCCAGTCCCAATGCCTGGCAATCTGCCACTGCCTCATGGTGTGAATGTGCTGGAGGCACTGCTGGGATCCCATCCTGAAACCAAGAGGCCAAAGCACAAACTGCTGCAGAGCAGTTGTGGGGAGAGAGAGTAGCCTGTAGAAACTGTATGTCTGAGGACATTGAGTAAAGAAAAGCCTCTTCTGAAATCATCTTCAGGAAGTACTCAGATTTGAGTCTGC